CGAGGTGGTGCGAAGCCCCGTCGACGCGAGCGTTACATCCGTCTGTCAGCAGGAGCATGTTCATCAACGCATGCCCGTCCTGAGACCCAGTCAGAGGCCCGAAATATTGAGGGAGTAGTTGGATCATTTCAGTATCGGTAGCGAGAAATGTATTCTGCGCAAACGATTATCACAGTCATATATTGACCAAAACTCAGCGACAATGACAGAAACAGAGTTCAACCATACAAACACACATTTCGCTTTGACTTTCTGAAAAAGCATTCAAACCACAAACCCCCACGGATATTTCGCACGATGCGCGGAAGAGTGCAATACACCAGCCGGGAAATAAATATAGGGTGGTGTGCGGAACTCGAACGCCACTGCCGCAACGGCCACAGTTTAAGGCAACGAGACTGTTCGCCGGCACCCTCTGGTGCAGTCAGCACATCACAGGGGTTTATGACCGCCGCGCGACCATTTCATCATAAATTATCGGGAGGTCGGTAATCCGCGTGTCCATGAGCGCGTTAGGAACAAGGAGCAACATCGACCACGACGAAGAGCCAGAGCATGCAAAGTTAAATTGCAGGCAGCCAAAAACACAATCCTTGCAATAACAGCGATATTTAAGTACAACACGGGTCATCATTCAGCAAAAGCTGCCACGATTTCGTTCTTGGCACTTCTTTGCCGCAATGCTTAACTTAACCGTCCCACTTAGTTCCTAACGCGACTGGGAACCGCTTGGCCGGATAAAACAAAGTGTCAGTGGAGCGTGTGGGCAGCACCACAAAGGAGCCTGGTTTTTCCACGCTGCAGTGTTTCTTCCAGTGTCCGCTTCGATGTCGGTGCAGTCCACTGGCTGTCGGAGTCTTTTAGGCTCGTTGATGCCCTGTGCCGATACATTCTATCGTACAGGCGTCTCCCGACCCGAGCTTCTCGATTGTAAACTTTGCCTGCCGGAGGAACAGTGAACTATTGACGAACGAATTTCGCTTCAGCTGCCAACGCGAAGAGAAGTGTACGCCGAGCTCATAAAAACTTTACGTTCGCAAGAGCGGTTCTGTGAACAAAAAGCCAAGTTTTCGAACTAGCCGGAAAGAAAGCGAGCGAACCTTGTTGCTACGGCAATTAAGACAAAGTACTTGGAAACTTCAGCACAGGTTTTTTGGGACCGCTAGCGGCCTATCTCACACATATTCACAATTGACGTTTTTTGTTTCACGTGCCTGACGTTTTCTGTTTTGTAGTTGTTTGTTGGAGTTTACGGGCGCGCCGACTGTGGTGGTCATTTGGCGCCCATAACGAGTAGGCTGACGTTTCAAACATGGGTGTAAGAACAAGAAGAGGGGGTGGGGGCCATACCCCACCCCTTTTCAATGCGTGACCAACATTGTCAACTGCTCCCTCCTTTCAGACTTAATTTGCGTTTAGCTTAATTTTGTACAACCTTAACCATGCATGCTGATTTATCTAGCCCACCAACCATCTTCCTGAAACTGCACTGCACGCGATTGCTTCATGTGGTAAATGGTAGCATCTTATCCTGTTATGCACGGCCAACGGAAAGATCAAGGGGCAAATCCGGGGTTCCTCTACCAAAGGCCCCGTTCCGTTTTTTTTATATAGCTTTGGTTCTTCTCCACGGCTGCTTACAGTTCCCTCAGCATATGTTCATAAAGTTCGAGATGGTGCGATGTATCTCTCTAAGCGCCTCCAGGTCGACCGGGGGACCCCCGTGTCGGCCGTTCCGGCCGCCAGAATGGCAGCCGGAATGCACCCCACGCTGGGACGGAATGGTCCCTCAGCCCTGGACCGGTAAATGATGATATGCCTCTAATGTTCTACTCACGGGACCCCTTAACCAAGGAACGAAGGTGTCTCGGAAGTGTTCAATGAATCCTGATCGAAATGAGGTGAAACATATAAAAAAACATATTTGCCTGAGAACGTTCGCTCCTTGTGCAGAATCGACTTGTGAAACAAATAGCATAAGCCAGCTTTAAGACCCTGCACGCTCGCAAGCTGGGGAGCAAGAACAGCGATGGTCAGGGTTACAGTTTTCGTAAAAACGAACGACGCTGGCCATTACAGGTAACACCAGGCGGTGGTCGTCGTGCGCGCCATAACGACCGTCGTAAAATAATGCTTCCGAAAGTCCTTCAAAGTAGGCGCCGTTTTAAATTAAAACACGCTTCGGGTCATCCGCACAATCCTGTGCATTGATCACGGCAACGCAGCAAAATCACTACGCATTTCCTGTCAGGAGGAACAGTTATGCTAATTAAAGCTCGAATATACCAATGCAATGGACGTCCATTGTTTATAATGTGTCAGATCAGCCCTGTTTCCATAGGTTGTCAACATGTCTAAGCGGTGTGGTATACGTGTAAGGAATAGAACACAACTGAAGAAACTTGCCAACTGAAGCCCACTTAAACTGACAGAATTTGAACCGGGTGTCCTTGTAGAGGAATACATTACACTAATTGTTTTCCCATTTTAATCCAATCTCATTTTTAGAACGACTTTTCAGCGGCTCCACAGACTCTGGGGCTGGAGAGACATCCGACTCAACTAACGTTCCAAGCGAAACCTACGCCCACACCCACGCCCTTCCCGAGGTGCACTGAGGGCCGACCGCAGGTCAACAGCTGGCGGCAGCAGACACCGCCGGACCGGCCGTCAAGCCGCGCTCGGCTCGGCTCGGCTCGGCTCGGCTCGGCTCGGCTCCCGGAGCTCGCCCCGGTGGCGGTTGCCCCCTCACCTCCGTCAGCGTCTCCGCTATGTGAATGGCCGTCTCTGTGTGCAGGGTGGGCGGAACGGTGCGCACGCGGGACCGGCCGGCCGCAAGCGCCATCAGAATCACGCACTGAAACGAGACGCGGCCTGTCAACACGGACACAATCCTGCCACGGACACTGACTCAGTGTGGGGATGAAGAAGCAATTACTGGCATCACATTCCCACGTGCATACGGACGCCGAAAACGGACCAGACAGGGACTCTACGGAAATCAAGTGTTTGTGACATTCAAGGTGATGGCAACGTCCACAGTGACTGGGTCATGACAGACATATGTCAGCACACCATACCCTTATAAGCAGAAGCCGCCTGGTACGCAGCAGTACCTGAATCTGACAGCACATGTACCCAGTTGGTACAGGTTCACGTCGCAGGTGAAAGTACAGCTAGTCTCCACACCTTGTTTGTTCAGCCTGTTCAACGACACGTGCACCTGTCATGGTCCCTAACGCCGCAGTGTCGCATCGAAAGTAGCGGAGGACGGACGAGCATCGATCTGGGAGCCAGGCTCGAACACACCGTGCGGCTCACGGTCCCGCACAACCATCCCCTCCCCCCAGCTGAGCTACATCACGTCGTGTCCCCATCAGATCCTGACGAAGCTGGTCCCACCTGGCGGTGGCAGTACTGGGCAGACCACCGCATGCCTGATTGCGGGCAAGACTGGAAAATGTGGTCCTGCTTTCGCACGGCCAAGCATTAGTTCGGTTTACTCCAGGCAGTGCTGCAGTCATGCCGTGCCCCAGACAGCTGCGGTCGCCCACCTGGTCCTGGCAATACTGGTCCACGCAGGCGGCGGCGTTGACGCTGCTGACCAGCTCCGCCACGGCCGTCTCCGCCAGCTGGGCGTCCGTGGTGCCGCGCCCGCTGAGGGCCGAGCCGCCCAGCCGGCAGCCGGCCTCGGTGACGGCGGTCAGCACCAGGCCCGAGGCCGGCCCCCAGCCGCGCTCGTCCGGCTGCGGCTGCAGCTCCGGCCGGCAGGCCGGCAGCGCCGCCTGCAGACGGTGGCGCGCCGCCTGCGCCAGCAAAGCCGCCACCTGGCGGCCGCGCGCCGAGACAAAGGTGCGGTTATCGTCACGAGATGGCACGGAGATGATGTCGGAGAGTGGCCGAGACTAGAGGAGAGAGGTTGTCAGCATGGGCTGTAACGGAAAACACAACACCGTCACTATCTAACACGCACGCGATAGCTTTTATTGTCTGCAATGAGTTCGTGGATAAGCCCTGCCTTCTCACTTCCCGCCGATCCTGTCCACGCAGGTTCCTGAGTCCATGACCCTTGAATGAAGCACGGTTTTACGTCTGCCAACCACAGGCAACATTACGGCCGCATGGCGTCCCTTTAAACCGATCCACCCACGCGGGATAGGGCTAGAGGGACAGCCGCGTCATCAGACTTCTTACTCCTCTCTATAATCCCATAGAGAAACTCTTAACCTTCCAACGTCGTACCTGATTGGTGGAAAACGCTGAAGCCCGGTAAAAACGTCAAAAAACTGCGATCTAAGCCAAGCACTAGTACCACAACAATCATGGGAACCTAGGTTTGAAAACATTGCCGATGCTGTCTCCGTGAAATATCATGCCATCGATGTCCGAAAATATTCATTAACCTTCGCGTGCTAGGGAATTTAAATACTCTCGTTCTTAACAAAAAGTAGACAACGTTCGGCGAATAAATTACATTAAAAACCAGCTCGCTTACCAACAGCATTTCACATTTTGAAGCTACATTACTCGAAACCGATCGATCATCTGCGAGTCGACGATCACCCTTTTGCTGAAAAAAATGACGGCAAAAACAAAGTATTTAGGGTCTTAACTGTCGAACAGTATTCCTTCCTCAACCCAATTCTTTTTAATTTTCATAACAAAAAAATACTTATTTTCTATCACAACGAAGCGGTTGCTACTGCTTTACCGCTGGCGATTGCAACCGAATGACAACAGTTTCGCTTGTTTTAAGATGCAGCAAGGCTGTTTCACCCCAACCCGCCAATATACCAGAGCGCCGCCGCGCAAGGCGTGATTCGCGGATGCCCGTCACAGGCAGCTTTCCTTGACATTCAACAACTCCGAAAGATTCACCTTGTGACAGTCATTTCTCCGAGGCGGTTTGCCGGCAGCGAACGCTATGCCGGTGACACGGACGAGCTTGCCGGACTCCAGCATGTCCACGGGCCGCAGCTGCGTCACCGGCGTCACCGAGATGTCCACCTGACCGCCGCCGCGAGGGAAGTAGCCTCTGCAACCGCAGACGCGTCGGTGTCAGGCGTCACGTCGCCAGCAATACGGTAGAATGGTCTAAGAAATACAAAATCTGAACTATAACCGGAGACTCGTTATGCACGCCGGTCTAGCCGCGGGACCCACCGGTGTTTGAGGTGCACGCCGGTCTAGCCGCGGGACTCACCGGCGTTTGAGGTCGCAATGCAGGTCGCCGCCGAACCGCTGCAGCAGCGGCCGGAACACACTCAGCGTGTAGTCGATCTGCGGCGCGAAGGCGGCGTTCGTGCCGCCGCGCAGCGTCAGCCGACACGGCCCGGGAGCGAACATGGCGCACGGCAGGCTGACCTGCAGCAGCAGGCCGACGCTCCTGCGGCAGAAGTGGCGCGCCGTCTCACGGCTCCGCTCTCGGCACGGTGCCCGTCGGCGCCGCGAGGGCGGGGGCGCCACTTGCAGAGTGGTGGTGCATCCTATCGGTTCGCGTCAAACGACGGAGAACTGCCACTCGAGTCGCCATACTTATACCATTTGTCACTGAGGGAGTCTAGCGATGATGTACAGCGGCGTGTGATAACCTTCCCGATCGGTCCAAAAAACGCATCAACTGTAGCTGAGGTCACATTCCAACCAGGTAAACTAGGGCATGTCACAAACAGAGGAAGGACGCAGCGAACAGCGGCACAGTGGGCACCATCAGCCGTCCGTCGCCTGGGGTCTCCGTCCATGACGTCATCGACTCCCGCCACACTGCTCGTCAACACGTCTGGCCAGATCCCGGTTGGCAGCCTGCTGGCCGCGGCCGCGTGCGCCGCTGCGTCGCACCTACCCGGCGGTGCCCGTCTCGGCCGTGAAGTCTCCGGCCCGGATCTGCCCCGGTCGGAAGGAGACCTCCGACGAGCCGATGGCGTCCCCGGTCAGCACGCCGTCGCACATCTCCGCCACCAGGCGCAGACCTGGCGCCACAGGCGGCGGCGTCAGGCCCGTCACTCGTATGTCACACTGTATGGAGGCCTCCACATACAAACGCTCTGAGATTATGTCTCTTAAACATTAACAAATACGCCGTTCACCAGTCTAGGTGTTGGTGGTATGCTTGTCATGTGACTATTTTTGCACTGCGCAGGGAACTTGAGGTTCACACATTTTGAGATTATGGCCATAACACATGAACGAGAGACATCGAGCACGTGCGAGTGTATGGCCGGGTGCTATCTATATGCACGTCACTACAAGTAATCTCGTATGTTACACATCATAAGCTGCTGATCAGCTGCTGAGCCTGATTAGCTCAGCAATTGAGGCCATGTTAAAAGGAGTTCAGCAGCTGCAATGTCTGGCAATGCATGGGCCTTACCAGCCAAATGTTGTGCCTTTAGTCCCGGCTGAGCTCGCCCCCCTCTAATGCTGGTTATCCTGATTGGCTTCCTCAGCAGGCAGCTGAGAGAGATCGCCATTCTCAGCACCTGGCCACCCTGGCAACAAAGCGGCAGGAATGACGACAGTCGGAGACATTGCAAACGCATGCGACGATATGCTACGGGTGTATGGTGAACATTGGTGGCATGTTTCACGTAATTCATGATCTGTTGTAAGTTAGGTCATCATCTTGCTCAGTGCTGATAAAGGTGGGGTTCATTACTTACAAAGTATGGGGCAATCCTTTTGCAAACGGGTGCGGTGATAAAACCACAGGTAACAAAAGGAATGTGTGGATGTGAGGGTAATGCGGAATATGAATGCGATGTGAAAACCAAAACGAGTCTGGTCTGGATGCAGAATGGCACATATGATACATGTGTTTACCGAGTACATGCCATGTAAGTATTTGGGCTACAGGCAAAGGTAACACATTCTTTCAGCATGTCCTTCCCTCTTTCAGCCTCAGATGCATTATTAACCAGAATGATGATAACGCGTCGGGCGGCAGTGCGCGCGCTACGTGTCTGGAAGCGATAGTGCCGGGGAGTGTGGTAGAGCGTGAGAGTCTGTGACCCATCTCCCGCGAATGCCGCGGGACACCCAGCTACATTCGTGAAACATATGCACCTTTCACAAAGCTGAACAGGATGGGACTCAGAGTAAAGGCCATTTCCTATGTGGGGGTGACCCAAACATAGCAGCATGAGAACTTTTGCCAAGCTGTTCCATAACAGGCTTTAGGCCCATTTGACAGTGATATAGCATTAGCCCCATTCTGTAATCAGTCCCTCCTGGATCCATTACACCATGTCAATACACATGCAAGCTTCATATACAGAGTATTCTGATTTTGTGTGCTTTGTATATAGAAGTGTCATCTGCAGTCTGACAATCCCCACTCTCTCCCTCCCAATCCATGATACATTAAATTCCCAATGGGGAGCAGACTCATCATGCCACTGAGCTTCAGTCTTTTCATAACAGAAGCTACCAGGCACATACTTACCCCTTCCATGACTGATCCATCTATGACCTGGTAATCTTCCATCTGTGTACACCTGCTATGTCTGAAAACAAGACAAGCATGGGTATTTGAGGTGCTGAAGAAATATACCACAAGCATGGGTAATTGCCAAAACATTAAATCATGATCAGTTCTCTTATCACTGAAGATTAAATTCATTTGTATTACTTCAGTATATGACCATGCCTAGGAAGATAAGCAAGAGATCATGATCTAGTAATAACACTTTTGACAACAAAAAACACTGCAGTAACTTCGGGTAAGGGCAGGACTCTGCATACGGCACAGCACACGGGCTGAACTGAGCTAACAAGGAGCTTGATTCCTCAGAAAATGGGAGTTAAAAAGAAGGGGAATGCTATCTGAATCCATCCTTTTCCATTAAGTGCCAGAGTGCCAAACTTTTGCCTGCATTTAAATGGTAAAGTCTGTAAATTAAACAAAGTCTGAGATGGTAAACAATGTAACAAATGTTGGGGATGCTGAGGTCTCCTACCCCATGTCCTATGTCCTTGCATCAAAAACAGCCACACACCAGTTTTTTATTATTTAAATAGTCAGCTGCATCAGTAGATACCAACCACAGCCTGGGCATGAGATATGACTACAAGCTAATGAATGGCTATTCAGAATCATACACAGGTACAATCACTAGGGGTCACAAACCAGCCAGCCATTGCAGTTAGAAAGCACAGATGTTATTACAATGAAATGAATCCAGTCACCATACACCCTACAGTCAAAGCAGTGCAACAAAATGGATAATATAGTGATCCCAATAATCATGACATCCGGCATATGTCCTGGCCACATGCATGATTTCACACCTTAATTTTAGCAGCTGATAACACTTCATATGCACATCCAAGGATGCACATCAGTCCATCAAAACCCTGAGTGTGACGGAGTCGTCACGTGGGTGCTGGTGTGTTGTTCAATATATCACTGTCTGGCATCGTTGAGTATGCATCGTCAAACCTGAAATGCAATTTGAGTACCCTAGACTTTCCGTTGGCCATTCTTTGATGTAACGGACGAGTGTCCACTTTCCATGCACCTCAATGCCATTAAGTCACTAGGAAAATGTTGATCAAACATCAAATGTTGCCCTGCCAGAACCAGCTGGTAAAATATTTTCAGACAAGGAAAAATGCGCCCACACATACCGCACACAAACGAATACCAAGCCCCGCCGGCCCGTGCCTCAACCCCGAAAGGTCGTCCGATCAAGTCTAGCCCAAGGTCTAGCCTCTTATTTATCAGCTGCTATGTATGCATCGGAAATGTATCTGGTGCGTCATTTCAATATCATATCTAACTTATATCTTTATCAAAAACGTATGACGTAATGGTGTAGTTTTGAATAATTGAGTACTATTTATCCAGTTTTTGGACAATATTGACTGTGGATATATTATTCATGCAGTAAATATACCTTGAGATGTATTTTTTCTGTAATAACTCCTAAAGTATGTTTTTACATTTTCAGCACAGATGATGTCATTTACACAGAGATGCTTTGCATTTTGTTTAGCGATCACAACAAGAAAACAGCCGTCGGCGCAGCAGTGACATTCACAGTTTTCCTCGATATTTTTGTGTAAGGATTGAGTAAAAAAAGGAGGAGTGTTAAGGAGTCCATGATTGCAGTATTCCAGGGTCCTGCAGATTTTCATTTTGCGGGAGCAATTGGGGTAAGTTGGCTTGTTACTAGAAATGAGAATGGTGTTTGGGCTTTCCCATGGTTTGAAGTTGTGGATGACTGTAAGTTCCATATGCTATGGTTTTTCTAATCTCCAAGGTGTAAGGCCTAGGACAGCTGCTAGTACATTTCATAGCTCTGGTTCACCATTCATCCTGAACTGCCATGATTAAGCCTATTTAAAAGCCTTGCCTCCAGGGGTGCGGCTTTATGAAAGTGGGGGGGGGGGGGGGGGGGCTGAGCAGGTATGTTCCACTTAACCCCTTTGCCCCTTGAAACCTTGTTTCACAGTGAAGTTTGGTCTTTATAAGTTGGACCCCACAATTTTGAATGTATTTTTTATTCATAATGTGTTGCACCACCATTGAAATAAACCAAACAAGTTGCTGAGACAGGTTCAGCTGTAGTATATCTCAGACTACCAAGCAACCCATCTTCAGCACCTTTTTACTACGGTTCAATGTTGGTGAAATCTTTGATGACTTCCACTGTTCCAGGATCAAGTTTTCCCACTTAGCTAGGAGCTAAATCCCACCATGGTCATGAATGTGCAACAAATGCACTTGTCATTGTTTAAGGAGAACAGGCTATTTGTACTGGGGCAACCATGTGCTTTTGAAAGCAGCAACATTGCAGTCAAGTGTTCTGAATCCAGGTGGAGTAATGTGCAAAACTTGCCACACATTTGCAGACTGTGCATTCATTCAAAGGATTTAGCATGGCAAGCACATTAGGTAGCTGGTATATGATACTATGTCATTCAACATGGGCTTGGTAATAATAATATTCATGGGTCTAGGTACGTAATGTGTTAATCATTAAGGGAACTTCAATGCTCTTTTTTTTGCCCAGTATTATCTGTGCTCATATGCATTGAAGAGGCTCAGCAGGTATTGGAAGGGTGCAAGTCAGCATTGGAGGAGGGGCTCAGACCCCCCTTAAAAGTATCCTAAGTGATGCTCTTTCATGTATCAAATATCTGCTGTGCTATGGACTCCCATGCTATCTTGAGACAGAATAGTGGTGAAGGGACAAATGAACATTGTTAGAAAGCTTATGCAAGTCCAAATAGCTTTCTGAATTTATTTCTTGGTTTAGGCTCTTGGCCAATTGCCCTACCCAAACCCCAACTAGTTCATGTGTCATATCCTCTCATTTTTATACATTTGGTCCAAAATGTGTCCCATTTAGCTCAATGTATTTGCAACTGACTGATTTGATAAACCACAATGCTATGCTTGACCCTAATTATACACTGCTAGTGCTTGATCTGGATCAGTGAGTGACTGAGCCAGTTGCACTTCAAGGCCAACCTTGGTCATCAACCTGTCTTAGCCATTGGTGGCAAAATGCCATCATCATGTCATCTGTGGCAACAGATAAATGCAGATGAAGGAGTAGCAGGGCCAAGGCTAAAGACAACTGAAAAATGGGAAGTTGTGCTAGTACAATGCGTGCAAAAACTCTGAGGTGAAGGTCAACTTCAGATGGTGGTCTAAGATGTTTGTTCAGGGTAAATTTGTGAGGTATAAGTAAAAAACTGGCACTGTCATTTGTGAAGCTGAATAAAACTGGTGTGTGCATCTGGAAAAAATACAGTCAAAAAATAAAATTAAAGGTCATCTTTCATCATGGGTCTGTGATGACCTGCGCTGTCATGATCAGATTTTTCATCAGTTATCCATCACAACCTTTTCCTACAGCACTTCAATATTGTTGTTTTCTGCATACTATGTTCACTGGTTGATGTGTTATGACTGTGTGATGTCTGTCCATTGCAGGAAAATGGCCACTTGGGGCTTGTTGGCCAGAGCACTGAGACATTCTCCCAGCCACAGAGGACTGGCCGCATGCTGCTCCAGGGGTGCCACAGCAGGCGGGCGGCGCGTCCGCTTCCTGGCGACCTCTGCCCACCAGTCCGGCTCAGACCAGTCCGGTGACGGAGCGGGCAGGGCCGGCTGGAGGCTGGCTTGCCTCGGTGGCGGCGGACTGGCCGCCCTGCTGCTGGCTCAGACGCTCCACCGCGAAGAGCGACCCGGGTCCCGCCGCTCCCCGCTGGCAAGGCTGGTAGAAGCCCTCGTACCCTCGGTGCGGGCGGCCAAGGGAATGGGTTTCAATGCGGCTGATGTGACTGGAGGCAAAGGGGACGGCCCGAAAGATCCGACAACCAGGAGAGGTCGGTACAACTTCATCGCCGACGTGGTGGACAAGACGGCACCGGCGCTGGTCTACATCGAGATCAAAGACATGCGGAGGTGAGTACCGCCATTCTCAGCTCTCGCGGAGCCTGGTTTGTGATGCCCTCTTGCATTCAACGACTCCAATGCAATGCTTGACGCTTGACATGCCAGGAGTTCACCGAGGAAATCCTTCGTCGGTCAAGGAAGTGTTTTATTCTGCTCAATAGTTCAGACTGCGGCTGTTGTTTTTGCCTGCCGCTACCTCACAGGCTCATGCTGACACGTGCACTTTGTCGCGCAGGGCTGGCATGTTTGGTGGTCCGCCGCCCACCGCCTCCAACGGGTCAGGCTTCATTGTAGATTCGGACGGCCTGATTCTCACCAACGCCCATGTCGTGGTGAACACGCCGCACAGCATGGTACAGGTACGAACTCACATGGTGGTGGTGAACACGCCGTCCGGCATGGTACAGGTACGGACTCTCACATGGTGGTGGTGAACATTCCTCACAGCATGGTGCAGGTACGGACTCTCACATGATAGTAGTGAACATTCCTCACAGCATGGCGCAGGTACGGACTCTCACATGGTGGTGGTTAACATTCCTCACAGCATGGTACAGGTACGGACTCTCACATGATAGTGGTGAACATTCCTCACAGCATGGTACAGGTACGAACTCACATGGTGGTGGTGAACACGCCGCCCGGCATGGTACATGTACGGACTCTCACATGGTGGTGGTGAACATTCCTCACAGCATGGTGCAGGTACGGACTCTCACATGATAGTAGTGAACATTCCTCACAGCGTGGCGCAGGTACGGACTCTCACATGGTGGTGGTTAACATTCCTCACAGCATGGTACAGGTACGGACTCTCACATGGTGGTGGTGAACATTCCTCACAGCATGGTGCAGGTACGGACTCTCACATGGTAGTGGTGAACATTCCTCACAGCATGGTGCAGGTACGGACTCTCACATGATAGTGGTGAACACGCCTCACAGCATGGTGCAGGCACGGACTCTCACGTGATAGTGGTGAACATTCCTCACAACATGGCGCAGGTACAGACTGCTCACGTGATGGTGGTGAACACGCCTCACAGCATGGTACAGGTACGGACTCTCACATGGTGGTGGTGAACATTCCTCACAGCATGGTGCAGGTACGGACTCTCACATGATAGTGGTGAACACGCCTCACAGCATGGTACAGGTACGTACTCTTACATGGTGGTGGTGAACACGCCTCACAGCGTGGGGTAGGTACGGACTGCTCGCATGGTGGTGGATGCCTCTGACTGTCCTCAGAACAAAACACTGCGCTTGGTAGCGAATGTGCACCGATTATCGCGATGCCAGACTCGCTGCCTGTCCTTTGTCGGAGCAGAGCGGGCGTGGTCTATGCCCACGTAGTGGACTTGTTAAATACCCATATTGATGCCGTGCAACGTGATCGGTGTAGACTGTCAAATGACGGCCTCATTGGTGGCTGCGTCAACGTAACTGGCCGCTACGCTGTGCTCTATTTGGCCACCGCCGTGAGCGAGGTGTCGTCGCCAGCCTGCTCGCGGGGGTGGTCTCTCTCTCTCTCTCTCTCTCTCTCTCTCCTCTCTCTCTCTCTCTCTCCGTCTCTCTCTCTCTCTCTCCTCTCTCTCCTCTCTCTCTCTCTCTCTCTCTCTCTCTCTCTCTCTCTCTCTCTCTCTCTCTCTCTCTCTCTCTCTCTCTCTCCTCTCTCTCACCATCTCTCTCTCTCTCTCTCTCTCTCTCTCTCTCTCTCTCTCTCTCTCGCTCTCTCCTCTTTCTCTCTCTTTCGGCCGCGTGCCGACCGTGCACCTCAGTCTCACGCGTGCCTCGGGTGTGACAGGTACGCCTGCAGGACGGCAGGACGTTCCAGGGCGTGGTGGAGTCGGTGGACGTCAAGTCCGACCTGGCCACTGTGCGCATCCCCTGCGTAAGTGGCACGCTCCACTGTCCAGCACGCTGCTGAGCTCGTGCTAAACAGCTGGTTGAATTCTCAAGGCTTTCCGGAAGAACATTCAGTGTTATTTATTTCGCTGACTACCTATCAGTACCAGTCAGTCTGTCCCGCCTGCCAGCCAGTCTGTCGTGAATCGCGCAGTGATGGTTGCCTTGCTATTCACCCTTGAAGTGCATTTCGTTATTTGAGCGTGTTCGATGGAGCGCCCTGGCCGGGTTTTATGTTGAGCTGGTCTGCGGCCGTGTCCGTGCAGAATCACCTGCCGACCCTGCGGCTGGGCGTCTCCTCCGAACTGCGGCTGGGGGAGTGGGTGGTGGCCATGGGATCACCGCTGGGCCTCTCCAACACGATCACCGCAGGTCAGAGCTCACTAATGGCCTCGCTTTATAACGTTTGACTGGTTCGACAGGTTCAAGCATGCCTTGGCTACGACGAATGACGACCCTTTTTCTGCGTCGGCGCGGCTGTCGCCACCATGTTTGTTGGCATACTACATTGTGTACTACTGCTCGCCTTTGAATGCGTATTTTCCTGAGCGCATCCAAACGGAGCGCGTTGCGTTTCCCCGTAAACTTTGGTGAAGTAACGCTATTCTGGTCGGGCGGCGAAGATTGTGATTATATGTTGTGATTAGTGTGTGCGTGTTAGGGACAGGACTGAATTGATGGCATAATCTTTGAGGATTTGGCCGTGTTACCGCGTCGGTTCTGTGGTCAGCCCGCCTGGTCAGTTGCCAGCGACATCTAGTGTCCTGGATATGCCATGCAACGCATATATCTGTGGCCGAAACCCAGTGCTCCTGAATTAAGGGACCTGATGTGTATGGAACCTACAGCAGAGTTGGCGGCTTCTTACCGACATTCGACCGACATACTGGTCCGTCCCGATATCTCAGTTGGCTAGAACGCCTACCGTCTGATCCACCCACTCATGGTGGGTCGGTTTAGAATCGCTTTAGGCCTCACGATTTGCTCTTGACTGGGATGGACTGCAACCGGTGGCAGCGGCCCTGCTAAAGGTCAGGTGACGTCAGAGGGCAGGCTGGACAGCGCGGGGCATTGAGCCACGTTAAGCTTTCGCCACCAACTTTTGCTGTTGCCCTGGAATTTCACGATCGAATGGTGGGGGCCGGGGCTCACGCAACAGACACGGACATCGCTGTGGGCTTTGATCCGAGAAATCCATCCATTTCAAAGGTAGGGACTGATTCTTTACACCCATCTGCAGCACATGCTAATTTACTTGTGTCCACAGGCATCATCTCCACCGTCAGCCGCCAGAGCGCTGAGCTGGGTCTTCACGGTAAAGACATGGAGTACATCCAGACGGACGCCGCCATCACGGTGGGTCATGCACGGCGGGACTGCATGGGGTTTGGTCACAGTGCATACACCCAACGCGCGCATACGTTTTCACTTGTCTACAATTGTGCATTCATGGAGCGCCGTATAGCTTCAACGGTTGTGTCTGTCCTTGTCTGTGCCGTCTTACCTGGTCACCATTCTCTTTTTTTGGTATCGTCCGGTCTCTCTGGATAAATCGTTCTGACCCACCGCGGGCAATTTGGCGGCGCTACCAGTCCACTGCCATCTCATGCAGGTCATCTTTTGTGGTCGGATGTCCACCCCCGGCCCGTGGTCGGCACGCCGGTCGGTCGGCGCCGGCTGTGGTATCGCCCACGAGACGCTGTGTGTCGTCAGTTTGGCAACTCTGGCGGCCCCCTGGTGAACCTGGACGGTGAAGTGATCGGCATCAACGCCATGAAGGTCACCGCCGGTATCTCATTCGCCATTCCCATCGACTATGGCAAGATATTTTTGCAGAAGGCCGCCGAAAACAAATCAAGTGAGCCTTTACTTAGCTTTGTCAAGGTGTAGGCTCTGTGACAAAAATCATGGCTGCGGATTTCCGTCACCAGGCTATGCTATTTACGTGTCATGTTTACAATGCTGCAATCGCTGACAATATTGCTGACACGCCTGCCACAGATGTAAGGGTATGTGGTTTCACTTCCGCGACGGCAAAATGACCTCGGCCGTCAGCGAGCCGTGGAGCCCCAGCTACCATTACCTGAAGTTCCCCATGCTGCAATAAAATGCGAACACGTGGACTTCAGCATGATCGGTTCCCGAGCAGACAGCAATGTGTTTCTGAACGATGCATGTCTATGATAGGCTCAACGTTCAACTTCGGCGGTCACCTGTGTAGCGTGTGCTTCGCGGTTGACAGTCGGTGACACTGTCGGTGGCCGGGGCTGACCGCGGTGCCGTTCCCCGGCAGAGCGGCGCGCCCCCATGTCGCCGGCCGGCCGCCGGTACCTGGGCATCACCATGCTGACGCTGACGCCGGCCATCATCCAAGAACTTACGCTGCGACAGCCGGACTTCCCGCAGGATGTCACGCACGGCGTGCTCGTTTGGAAACTGGTGGTCGGCTCGCCGGCACACGCGTGAGTGGGGCTCCCAGGTTGACAGAGTCTGGGGCTCCAGGGCGACGGAGTCTGGGGGCTCCCAGGGTGACGGAGTCTGGGGGCTCCCAGGGTGACGAAGTCTGGGGATCCCAGGGTGACGAAGTCTGAGGCTCCAGGGTGACGATGTCTGGGGGCCCCAGGGTGACGGAGTCTGGGGCTCCAGGGTGAAGGAGTCTGGAGGCTCCATCGTGACGGAGTCTGAGGATCCCAGGGTGACGGAGTCCGGGATCCCAGGGTGACGAAGTCTGGGGCTCACAGGGTGCCGGTGGGGTGGTCGTCATCGGGACTTCGATGACCTGCGGTACCATATATGTATCCTCGGTCGGTGACGTCCTGGAAGAGAACATTCCACACACGTTATGGGTGCTGGGAATTTCGACGTGCTTCATATCAGGCACGCAATTTCGGTCAACTGTCAACATGACTGTATTTATGCACTTACGATGTTTTGGGTGCAATGTTTTAAGGAAAAGTTCCATATTTGAAGATGTTGAAGCAGGTTACAGATATGAAAGCAAGGTATGATGAAATAAGCTCACTTACCACTGTTTTAATTTTAGGTGGAATGGACTGCTCTAGACCACAAAATTTATCGATTTGGTAATGTGCTCATCAATACGTCATTGTTTCATTGTGTCCTACTTTGCACAACATTGAGAGCCAATTGACGACCGTTTTATCTGGAAGTCGTACTCACGAATGGCAGATATCAACGACTCGACAACAACAACGAAGTGCATGTTTATTGGCCTTGATCGCCGCATGGCCAATTAAATGACAGGATTTGAATGACATTATTGCGTTATGGATGTCAAGGTGACCTTGAAATGGTCTACCCGAAAAAGTCCACTTTTGCGGGCGCGCGCCTTGAAAACTAAAGGAATTTAGATCTTACGAAGGGCAGGGCTGCGACCTACGCCAAAGGATCTTCAAGATGGCTATTTCAATTCACGACCACATGCAAAGGCGGGGCACTCAGTGCCTTACTACTGTGTTTATGGACGCCGCCTTCGTGTCGACTGTTTGGATGTGCGTGCACCAGTCAGCCTCAACGCAGCCGTCTGTGTCGAGCCATCTGAGCTTGTCGGCTGGTGTGGTCTGAGGACGGGCCCCTGCCTGGCCCGGCCCTCACCTTCTCCCCATCTGCCGGCAGGTGCGGTCTCAGGCCGGGCGACGTCATCACCCACATCAACGACCAGCCGATCGGCGCCGCGTCCGACGTGTACCGCATCCTGGACGGCAGCGAGCCGCTGGTGATCACCGTGCGCCGACACACAGAGACGCGACGGCTGCGCGTGTCGCCCGAACCTGGAGCCTGAGAGGGGCCACTGGAGCACTGGACAGAGCGTGAGCCCGGTGCCGCCCGAACCTGGAGCCTGAGAGGGGCCACTGGAGCACTGGACAGAGCGTGAGCCAGGTGCCGCCCGAGCCGGGCGCCTGAGGGCCACTGGAGCACTGAACAGGACGGGAGGCCGCTAGAGCGCGGAACGGCAGGGTTGGTGGTCGCGTGAGTGGGTGCAACCACCGCACGCCTGCCACGGTGGCGGCGGAGGCTGAGCGAGCGCGTGGCCCACGGACGTTGTTACCGTCCACACCCGTGGCGAATGTGGACGGAGGCTGGTCCGAGCGTGGACGAGGAGCTGACGGGGCGGACGAGCGAGGCGGTTACGGCGACACTGCAGTGGCCGGGGTACGCGGCGCCGTGCATCCACCCATCTCTCACAGTCAGACGGCACTGGCGACCGCGTGTCGTGCTCACGTCGACGCCTGCGATACAACCGGTAGTGGGCACTGCCGCCCGCCATACCTGCGGTGTTGGGAGCGGCGCCACGCCACGACAGCTGTGTTTGTTCGCGATGTGATCAGGCGGCGTGGATGCATGCTTTGTTTTAAAAGGTAAATTTGTGTGGAGGCTCCGCTTGGGGCAGACCCGAGTCCATACGTGCCACCGATGCCCCCTGTTGGTGCCTGTTGTCACCCTGGCAGAGTTTGTGATAGAAATGCACTGCCAACCCGCGTTCAGCGTTTTTGGATTGAAACAAGTGTAATCAGATGTGTTTTTCCTGCCGCAATAAAACTGCGCGAGACCTTCTGCAGACTTGCCCTCGGTGACGCGCTGGGTTGATACGTTGACAGGCACTTTTTTGTGGAAATTTTCGTTTGGAATGCTTCCGTTCCTGTCCATTACCGACTTCCACGCGTGATGTCCGTCACATTTATAAGCATGATCTCACGACACAAAAAATCCAGTACAGAGCATCGGTGTCTAGAATGGATGGGGCACACAGGCTCCCATTGTTGCTCAGTACACCGGTAAGCAATCCCCCGCACGACCGCTGAATGATTGCTACAAATACAATATTCGTTGCCGTCAGCCCTCAACGTCCTCGCCCCTAAACTCCATCGAAGTTTTTTTTCTTTATTTGCAGTTTCGTGTGTGTGTGGACAGGCTATTGAACTGAGCTGGCGTTGCTGGCGATCCTGGGCCACAGGTCGGCGCACTCTTTGGAGACGGGCCCCGTCACAGCCGAGCCTGCCGGCAGGGGACGCGCTCTGTCAGCGGGGCAACAACTGGGCGGGCAGACAACGAGAATACGACAGAAGCACTGCCGTGCCATGTCGGGCTTCACCAATGGCGACTCGCGGACAAAACCGAACGGACCGAGTAGTTATTTTCGCGCTCACGTCACCCGGTCAGCATGCCTAGCACGCGACCACACCGTCCAAATGATAGCTGTTGGCTTTATGACAAGGCACAACAGACCTTACTGCTGCAACAGGTCATGGGCCGTCGCTCTGGCACATATCCGACAACAGCCCGGAAGATGCACCGGTGCCGCTGCTAATTACGTGCCTTCGCTTCTATGGAGGACCCCTGCCACAAGGATACCAATCCCAACATTCAAAAACGCCTATACACTAGCCTGGCGACCGTTTCTATATCCCGTGTCAGCGCTCCTCTGCCCCCCCCCCCCCTTCCTCCCCTCCCTCCACAGCTCTTCCCCTCACCTTTCATCTCGCCCTTGTTGTTGACGATGACGCCTGCATTGTCCTCGAAGTAGATGATGGTGCCATCCTTTCTGCGGATGCTCTTCCGCTGCCGCACCACCACCGCCTGCATGACTGTCAGAGGAAGGACGTGCGTCAGGCGAGCGTGGCATGGAGGCAGCGGCTGCAGAGAACCAGCGCAGAGCGACACGCTCACGGAGGCGACAGTAGAGGCTGGAGGCGCTGGCTAGCAATCCCGGAACGCAGCGTCTGCTGAGCTTGTTGGCTGGTCAATGAACGGAAAGAGAGACGAGACCAGAATCCAGACCAACGACCAGCACATTATCTAGCACAGATCTATACCGACAGTGGAAAATGTACCAAAGTCGGCTCAAACAAGTGCTGGGAAGTGCTACCTGAAGATGATTAAAACAATGACGCACTGCTTGAGACAGAGCAATAACACAGTCACTGTCATAATAAAATATTATGAAAAGGTTGTCAATACCTAGCTGCCTTAATATGAGCAGAACGCCGTCGTTAATACACCACACACCGATGTTTACAACAATCGCACAGAACTACACGAGCTAGTACCCTTTGTGGGGCACCGGAGCCCTGTCGGGAGCCGCGCGCTCACCCTTTTTGCGGAGCTCGGGTTTGCCCTTCTTCACGCAGGCCACGAACATGTCGCCGATGCCGGCCGACGGCAGACGGTTGAGGCGGCCGCCGATGGCGTACACCGCGATGACGAACAGGTTCTTGGCCCCTGCAGGGCCGCGGAACATACAGTTGGCTTAACACTGCCACATTGGCTGTTATTGGGTGAATAGGTGCAATACTCCCTGATGCACCTTTGCATGTAAATTGAAGGTTCAAGCCAGCCCAAAAAGAAACTGTGTAATTCACACATAATATATGTGCTTTACAACACACTCAGCTGCTGAGGCTACATGACATCAACTGCCTCTAACCCTGAGAGGATTGGTAAGTGGCACAAGGAACTGAACCCTGCACCTCCTTTCCCACACAAGTAGCATAACCACTGCACTATCAGTATGCTTGGTAAGCATATGTGTTGATGTTGTAATGAAGGCATGGATAAGGTATGTATGTTAACCATCCAAAAAGCTAAGAGTGTGCAGTTCACAACGGCACAATTTGTATGCAATAGCATGCTTAATTCGGCACATAACGGCACATAAATTCAACCTGTCTGTGAATTGTGAGTTTTATCCATTTCCCTGGTTATGCAGTAGTTGTGGTGGGCAGAAACTCCATTCACCTGGTTGCATGGGGATAAGCAGGATATTGAAAAAAGAGATATGATTGACTTATTGATGTATAGGTGCAAAACAAAGACAAAACTGTTAGATTTTTTTAAAAATCAAACAAAATAGCATAATGGGCAACCAAGACCTACATTTAGTGTTATGCTGTCCACTTCCATCTGTTATGCTTCCATTATGATAAATGAAACACCATCTCCCCATATGCATGATGAAAGAAATGGGTGGTTTCAAACTGTCTATGCCCATGTCCACATTTATTCATCTCACAGAACAAATATTTCATTTCTTAAATTTCTTAACTTATAAACAAGAGATATTTCATGGAAAAAATACTTAGTTGCCATTCAAAAGTATATCACTACACACATGCAATGCTGGAACAGATCTACATGAAATGCCAACTAAACATTAAGCTGACTTCACATTTGCAGTTTTCTCCCTTAAATATTGGTTAGCTGACAAAATGCAACAGACAGAGCTGCTGCAACAAGTCATTAACCATTGATCTTGCACATATCCGACAACAGCATGGAAGATACACCAGAGCTGCTGCTAATTATGTGCACCCCTGGAACACTACTGCAAGTGAACAATTGCAAAGCTCACAACCACACCTCTTAAAGCATGCTATGGGCAGATGCCATCTCTCTTGTCATGAAAACAACACCCAAACGTTTCAATGGCAAGGCAACTTGACCAGGATGAAGTCACAATCTTCAAGGAAAGATGAGTGCCAGCCTTATCTGGTTGCCAACCTGTCATAAGCCACATGGGGAAATATACATCAAGCTTGGGCTGGTATCAGGCTTAGTTCTTGAATGCAATTGAGAAAACTGCCTGCCATGTAACTGCAACAAATAAAAATGGCAATCATAATTAGAAAGTGCAACTGATTTGAACACCAGCTCACTTCCCTAGTAGCAATGTGAAGGGCATGCAACAGCTAGACACTACATGACTGAAAAGAATTTTGGTTGAGAGATGTTCAACTGACCTGTGTTGTCAGCACAGTTCATCACAGCCCCCACTGGCAGAGCCAGTGAGGTCCGGAATTTGGCTCCCGCCGCTCCTCCACGTCCTGGGCAACAAAACAGAAACAATCAGTAACAACGCACACACTCTCGGCAATGTACACACATAAGGCATTCATAACAAAAATGCAATGAAACATGGTGTGCAAACCTTTTGCTGCTTAGATGACAGAAACATGGATATTTGTCCATGTTACTACACTGTTTGGGGATCACTACCTGTTGCTTCTCTTCCCACACAAGATCAGCCCATCCACTGAGTCCATGACCAGTACCATGCTCAACCCTGCATCTAGGTGCCTCAGGCTCAACAAATCAGTTGATCAGGCAAGATGTGAGGATTCAGGATCAGTGGGCAACAGTGGCAGCCAATGTAATGTGGGTGCAGAGGATGTATGGGAGCTGAATTCAGGTAATGTGCCACAAACAGAATGACCTGCTCATGGTCTTGCATAAGCATTGATGCCAGCTATCATTTACAATTGCATGCTATTGTACAATGAGCTGCAAGCTATCCCCAATATAATAGGACCACATAGCCAGATCTACCATCAGCCTCATATTAACACATGTAACACCATACATGGACATAACCTGACATAACTACATCTCTGTGTCTTTAACCCATACTGCCCATTTGGATTGAAGAGCAGGCTCTCTAATCAACTGGGCTTTCAATGAAAGTGTTACAATACATTACCATTTACTGCATTTAGCATTGCAATATCTATACTCAAACATTTTGAATCTGCAGACCATAATGGCTGTGCATTCTAAATGGTTTGCACACTACATAAGTTTCACACCAATTTATATTTTTGTGAGGTCATATTTTTACAATCTGTATGCTGTCCTGCTTAGAATACCATGTCATATTTTGCCAAACAATGAATAGCAATTACAGCAAGTAGTTTTACCATACCTCACATAACCATTAACTGCACATCCCCCAGCAATGCAATGCACAATGCTAACACACAATGACAGGACATAAGCTGAGGAAGAGCACCTCTGATCACAAAAATTTTCCTACAACAATTGGATCACTAGATCATGATGTGCATAATTTTGTGAGTTAACCCACCTTAAACTAAAACCTACCCCACAGTTTTTTGGGGGATATAACTTACAGATGCCTCCACCTAATAATCAGTGCTAAAACAAGATGTCAACATCTGTATCACAAAAACATGACCAACACCACTCCATACCGGCCTCGCATCACATTCGAAGCCACATGCATGTGAAACAAATCAACCGCTTCTTGGGAAAGACCGCCCCACTCAGCGTCACTGCAGCCAAATACCTCAAAACATACGCAGGCGTCCTAAATCCACAGCAATTACTAAGCGTGACTATCCCACACAAAACACGTGAGACACAGGTGGGGACCCAACACTGGCAGCCCGACCGCGGTTCACGGGTTTGAGGGCCGCCATATGGGACATGAAAGCCTACAGAAAGAACAAAAACAAGAATTTCCGTGTCATGTGAAGATTTCCAAAGTAGCAAAGTCATAGAACCATATATAATTCAACGGAATAACCCGGACGCACCTCTCTTCGACATTTCTGGGTCTTGAAAGGAAGTGTACAACACATAGTGGTGATAGTATGCTAATAATTTTGTTCTGATACATGTTTGGATTTCTGATCGAATATTTTTACTTAAAGACCGTTTAACGGTAACTTTGAGCGCTAAATATTACGATCGAATACAAGGTATATTTAATATTGTACCCTGGGAACTAGTGGTGGAACCGTTTAACGACTGGCAGCGACTGCTAAATTACGATCCAGCCCTTGGGATAACTGCCGCTATTTTGGCAAGAAAGATACACTCTATGCCACTAGCATAGAGTGTGCCTTTATTGGCCCTGTCATAATGCCAGGACCTTTCTCAGTACATTAAACACGGGAAAATGCTTCAGCAGTCTACCAAATTCCTCCTCACATTCCCACCGGTTTCATGCTAAGGTACATTCAGTTCCAAAGACATATGTACTCTTGCATGTGTAATGTATATATATATATATATATATATATATATATATATATATATATATATATATATAGCGATGTCTACAGCCATTTCAAAAGACCCTCTCCATGCCAAAATCAAAGCATAAGATTATGTTATGAAGCCACTTTAGGCATGCTATTTGGTTCACCCGTCAGTGTTGCTCATGACGGTTTCGGAATGTAAAATAATGTTAACTACACTAAGTCCCCAAATGTCCATCATGTGGTACTTACCCGTTTCAGGTGCACGATTTATTGAGAGTAAGTCCTCCGGAGGGTGCCGGCACGTTCGCACAGGTCTCGACAACAACTGTCAAAAACAACGACGATCAAAAAGCCGTGAGAATACTGGACACGGGTGTCGATTTGTATCCTTTTGGGTGGGCCTTCCCCCACTTCTGACCAATCAAGGTCATCTTTGAAGGTCAAATCACGCTCACAGAACAGGAAACTCGTCATCACCCGCAAAGTTTCAGCCGATTTCAACTTATCAAGCATCAAAAGATTTACCAGGGCAAGAACTAGAGTACGACAAAATATTTATGATAACTCAAGATCATTTTTCAGGGTCAAACTCAGGCTCAAATGACGGGGAACTCCATTATCGCCAAAAAAATTGGCCGGCCGATTTCAAGTTTTCAAGCATCAGAATAATCCGCGGTACATGAGTTAGCGTACGTTAATAGTCCAGACATTTCAAGGGCATCCTTCAAGGTCATACTCAATATCCAATGAGGGGAGTCCATATCGCCGAAGTTTACCGGCCGATTTGAATTTTTCAAGCATCCGAATGTTCAAAAGTGCAATAACTAGCGTCCGTAAAATCCTAACACGTCAAGGTCAGGCTTAAAGGTCAAAGTTGGGCTCCAATAACGTGGAACCCAAAATCACCCACAAATTAGAGACCAATTTTAAATTGTCAAGCTTCAGACCATTCAACGCAGAATGAACTAGCGTCTGTCAAAAACTGGTGGCGCAGGTTCCCTGTCATTTAAACCCGAGCTTGTCCTTGAGGGGTGACCGTGAAAGGTCAGGGCTTTGTGACGGGCGCTAGTTCATGAGTGCGTTGGTGAAAGTTCTAATACCTGAAAGCTCAAATCGGCCGGTAATTTTTGGATGACGTCGGGTTCCTGTCCTTTCAGCCTGCCTTGAAAGCGGACCTCGAGAGGTCAGGACTTTTGAACAGGCGCTAGTTTATGCGCTGGTGAATATCCTGAGGCCTCAATAGTTGAAATCGGCCGGTAATTTGTTGGTGATATGGAGTTCCCTGACCTTAAAGCGTGAGTTTTTGGCTTTGAGAAATTTCCCTAAAACGTCAAAGTTTTTTTGAACGACAATTATGTCTTTCATAAAAAATACTCTGATGCTTTAAAATATTATATCGGCCGGTGATTTTTCAGTGATATGAGGTTTTCCATCCTTTGAGCCTAAATTTGGCCTCGTAAGGTGACCTTGAGTCTTAACGATTTTCAACGGAAGTTAGTTCTTGAACTTATGAATATTCTTAGGACTGAAAACTTAAAATTGATCTATTCTTCTTTGATGATATAAAGTTACCCGTCCTTTGACCTTGCTTAATTAGGTTCCTGAAGGTCACATGGAAATTCAAATTAAATGTCATTTTTGATATGTTTGTGCCCTATTTGACCACCTGACGTCTTTTCTTAGAAATCGGAACTTGTCGATGAAAAATCGCTGGGTGAGTTTTCTAGTTCCCTAACTTTGAGAGAAGAGTAGGTCAAGTCAAGGGGAATCCCTTTCATTTTAGGGCTGGGTTTGGTGATTTCCCCTGTTGAGCGCCCCAGACCTTGTTCTGTGAAGCCACGTTCCTGGAGTGGAAGCTTCATGACGGTCACACGTGACGGATTCGCCACCACAGCACCTCACCGTCTAGCCCACAGCATCGCTCCAAAATGGAAAACGTTTGAGATAGCAGGCAGGTGGATCAAAATCACTGTAAGGTGACAGACTGTTTTCACTAACCACGCGGCAACACAACAGTTTTCAAGAATTTCCACCGCGTTGAAGACAAATCGAGACTTGAATCGAGTTCTCGCACCGTACATTCTACAATAGTAAGATGCGAAATGAAAACATTGACATATACGGAGCTGTGACCTCCGATTTAAGAACTTTTATGTTTCTAGCGCACAAATTTGAAGACATTTTTCTCAGACAACAAATCTATAAAACATCGACACATCATATATAATACCAAAACAACAGGGCGCATATCAAGACAATAGCGGCAATAGCGAATCGGGCAAACTAATAGCAAGTTTCTCCTTGTCCGAAAAAGGGAAGTGTCTCAAAAGTATTCAATACAGTGAATCAAAGCAAGGTCAAAAATGAAAAAAGCTAACCCAAGTTTGTCCAATCACTTCATTGCGTTGCGAAATGTACTATGCTCTGTTTATCGTAAGAAAGAACTGAATTTAAGTGCTGCCAACGATTTTGCACGGTTTTTTGCGCGTGGGTCATTATTCGAGTGTGCTGTAGCCCAAAAATTACCGGCATCATGACCGGCATCACTTTGGTGGTGCGGTAATATTTTACGCATTGAAAAGTTTTATGTTGTTTTACTTGTAAATTTAATTGTCTTTTTATATCTTTTATATGTTTTAGTACCTACTTACTAATGAATGAAAAATCCAACCTAGCGTCTGGAAGGATTCTTGGGGCACAAAGTAGGGAAGTTGTTTATAATGTGTATCAACATTTTGTCGAAGACCGGGACATGAGGTTGTAGGCGGGAGACGAAGACGCCGTCCGAGAGAGTCCATTATTAAGAAAAGCAGCTGTAACGGGCGCTGGGAAGACTACAATCTACCGCATACAACGTGAACCCCAGGATGGTGCCAGACTGAAGTCGCCAAGCCGATCCCGACCAGCTGCAGCAAGACCAAGGGTGGATCTAGATCCGTTCGATGTTTGCGCGATGAGGAGAATGGTGCACCAAATGCACATCGATGGAAAACCTGTTACTCTGGGCACCATCACGGATGCTCTTCACGAACAGCTCGGCGTCACCATGTCTAGATCCACCGCAAGAAAACACCTACTCGCGAAGGAATTTAAGTACCGAAGGATCGACAAGCGCAAGATCCTGATCGAGAAACCTCATATTGCAGCAACGAGATGCCAGTTCTTGCGGGAGATGAGGAGGCTGCGTAGAGAACTTCCCGATAGCAAAATCATTTATACCGACGAGACATGGTATAATCAGTACGATATGGAGGACTTGGCGTGGCTGGACGGTAGTCAAATCAACGGACGGAAAAACGCCATTGGAAAAGGAAAGCGCTTTATCATAGTCCATGCCGGCTCTTCGGAAGGATTTACACCGGGCGCACTTCTCCACCTCAGGACCGATGGCAAGAACGCCGACTACCTTACGTCGATGAACGCCGACTACTACGAGAAGTGGTTCACCGAGTGCCTGCTTCCGAACGTGCCAGAGCACTCTGTGATCATCAAAGATAATGCCTCATATCATTCCCGTTTGTGCCAAGAAGGGCCAACTTCTAGCTGGCGTAAAGCGGAAATCCAGGAGTGGTTGCAGCAGGCAGGTGTGACCATCGACGAAGACATGCGGAAGGTGGAGCTGCTGGAGCTAGTCAAGTCCCAGAACCGGAAGAAGGAATACCTTCTGGACAACCTTGCTAGAGATCATGGTCATCGGATCATTCGCTTGCCGCCGTATCACTGCGACTTGAACCCGGTAGAGTTAGTGCGGGCACAGATGAAGCGCGTGATAAGACGGGGGAACTTGACGGGGCGGATGGAGGAGGTGGAACGGCTGGTGGAGGCATGTGTCGCAACCGTCTCTCCAGAGGACTGGAGTAAGTGCTGTGAGCACGTCAAAAGGCTGGAGCAGCAGAACTGGACGAATGACGGGCTGCTAAAAGATCTCCCACTATCCCGGTTGTCGTAACAACCGATGATAGCAGCGACTCCGGCACCGACTCCGGCAGCGACAAGGATGAATGAGAACAGTATGACACATCGATCATGGAAAGTGTTTCCGTTTCGTTCTTTTCAACTGACTTCGTAGCGTTTACGTGGATGTGGCATGTAGTTACTTGTGGGGTGTTTGACCTGGATGTATTGTACATATATCTGCAGCTGAATGTTCAGCGTTTTGTTGAATACCTTCAATAAAAGTGGGCGAGTTAATTTTCTGTGTTTGGGATTTTCCCATGTTATTCATGAAGCAGCACCAGTTTGGAGCAATTACCGAATGAACGTATAGCATAACTTGCTTCAAAGGTAGGCAATGAATTTAGAACGTGAAAATAATTGCCAACGAAAATAACCCCAGTGCCAACTATATATATATATATATATATATATATATATATATATATATATATATATATATATATATATATATATATATATATATATATCGACCAACCATATGAACATGAAGCTGCTGCAAGCAATGCAAACATCCAAAACTGTTGTTGCTTCGAGAGATCCGCATCGCTGTCCTGCAGGCCTTCCGACCAATTTGTTGAGTTTGAAAAAATTCAGCGTGATGCCCGTGACGAATTGATTGACCAGCTTTAATTTCGTTCTTTCTTACGATAAACAGAGCATAGTAAATCAAATTATATAAAAAATCGCATGCCCGCTAGCAGTCTTAGAGTCAGAACACCGATGTGCTCGGCTTGCAGTTTCCATCAAAGCGACCGGTGTTGCCCATTGCAGATAAGATCAGGTATCGGTGGCCGAGCGCGACCATTTTAAAGTAGTAATTCCGGAATGCATTCAAAATAAACTCGGGTCGTTCCAAGGCGACACTGAAGCGTATATTTCGCCTGTAAAATTATAATCTGACTCACAATACATAGCGTTGATTCCAACATTCCATCCGGTCGGCTGATCGCAGATTTTAGTCCACTTATATTTGACAAAAGAAAATGTGATCGAATTCTAGAACTTCCGATGGATTCAGTTCCGGTGACAAGAGCTCAGTGAATTACCCGCTCCATGTTTTCTGCTTTAAAAAGCCTAAAATTGCATTTTCTGTTCATAACAATTCAGTCACATGTGATAGTGGCTCGCTTTCTGTAGCTTAAACTTAGGTATTACCATTAGTATGATGACCAAAAGTAACACTGAGTTGACTCACAAATGACTTGCCCGATTCGATGCGGACACTGATACACCATAAAACCCCAAAGGAATGAACTCAGGTGACTGAGCGCGAGCGGCGCCCCTTCACACCGTGTCATCTCGCGTTTGATGTGATCGTGATACGACAGAGATGTGCCCATGGTGCCACCAAGCAAGTCGTGCTGTTGGTAGTATCAATACAGTGCAAGGAGAAAAATGTGGATCATTTCAAAGCGTGGATTATTTCAAAGCGTGGATTTTATTCGGTGTTGTTGCATGATGTATCCGCTTAAGATCAGCAAACACCATATGAGAGACTGCCCCTGGTTCTTAAATGCGGGGTATGACATTAAAGCATTTGTGACGCAGTCGAAAGATGTCAGCAACACCTACAACAACTTGTGCTTACCTGCAGTGTTATAACCTGAGGAGACTTCCCATGATTTGAAACATCCAGTTTTCATTGCCAGTGCAAAGCCGTGAGTTGATGCATGCAATTTTAGCAAAAGATGGCCTGTAGTGTTTTGAAAAGAGGAAAAAGAGTGAATTGTTTCACATTTTAGTGATGAACAAATGGCAATGGCAAACCTCAATCTTTTCATTTGTAGTTAAGAGCTGCCATTACAGTGTTAAACACGCGCTCGGGTGGGGGGTCAAATTGAACCCCATCCGAAGGGTTTCCCAAATGGTTTCCGAACGGCGCGGCGTAACAGCGCCAAATTTTGCACAGCTGTCGAAAATCGAATAGCAGATCGTTTGGCATCAAAAAATTAAGTGTACCATGTAAGGTCACTGATTTATGACAGGTCAAAGTCAGGTCATGGTTTCAGCGAAGGCAGTTTCCAGGGAATCCTTCAATCTGATCTAATGACTAAGTGTTAGACGAAGTCATTCATCTCTGAGATGCTTTCTTAGGCAACACAACAGTTGATTGAGTAAGTTACATTGACCTAAGGTTAGATATAAAGGTCACGCCAAGGTCAAAACCAACCTGTTTTGTTACTATAGGGCTTGCCGTATGGAATAGATTCTGGTGTTCATTTCGAGTTTATTGATAGCAGGAACCGCATTATACATCTTCCATGGACTTCTTAGAGTTCATAATAAGTCATTGACCTAAAATATTCCAGGTCAACATTTTGCTTTAGGAACATACTGCCCAGCGTAACCTTTGTCGCTTAGACAAATGCAAAACACAAAGCAATCTTGCATTATTTTAGTCGCCTAGACCTCAAAAAGGTAAAAAAAGATCACTGGCCTTGAATGAGCTTGTGACCTTTTGCTTAGAAACGATTATCTAGGTTCTGGGGGCACTTTGGAGACCAACCTGGAACTTGACCTTGTTTGACATTTTTTGACCCGAAGGTCATGAACTAGGAACCTGAAACTTCGATCTATGTGAGTTCTTGTGTGGGTCAAGCTACTCTGTAAATTTGGTGTCTCTAGCTTTCTTAGGTCCCGAGATCTCAGGGGGGGGGGGAGGGTGTCAAATTGACCCCGACCCGAGCGACGGGTATCTAGCCGGCCGCCAGGGCGCGTGTAAAGATATACTTTGGTGCACTAACGACTACATTGTCCAGGTACTTTGACTGCTGCTCTCTGAGAGATATCACTGGTGTTAGCCAACTATTGTTGTGCATTAGGTGACAATGACATGCCATTTAATGCACACTTTAATGTATAGGTCTAAAATTTAGGTGGCACTTGCAGGTTGATGACGGTCCAGCTTTGTAGCACAGCGGGCTTTTGTGTTCTTAATCACCAGCTGTGCGGGAGGGCTGCGCTGCGGACTGACATTTTGGAAAATCTGTGTTTTTAGTTGGTGCCGTTTTTTGGCACCGACGAAAACGTGAAGGTGAATATCCGGCCCGTGGACGATTGTAGCGACGAAAATGTCCGGCCCGTAGATATTGCAGTTATTATTAGGTCGGCTCTGGAAAAGGTGAGGAAAATACAGAGTCGCAGTAGTGTAACTGCTGTTACCTCCAAAACTTGATATTTATTAGACCAACTTAATAGACAGTAAATATTCGAATGACAGCGTATTGAGTATCATTTTGAGTGTTAAGTACAGCTTGTTTTATGTAAGGATCCGTTCATATTCGCCATCTACAGCTGCACTATCCTCTGTTCCGTCTATTCCGTCCGCCTCCGTCTCTGTCCCTTCAGTGCCCTTCCCAACGCCTTTGTCATCTTCTCTCTCCATCTCCCCTGTCTCTATCTTGTCAGGCATCTCCTCTCTCCGTGTCGACTTGAAATTCAACTCCCCGCTGTCTGCACCACCTGCTGTCTTCTCCTCTCCTGTCCCCACGTTCTCTACCGCCTCTCCTCTCTCTTCCCGTTGTGCACTCGCTTCCCGGCTATCTCTGCCGCCTTCCTTCTGCTTGCTTTCCTGCTGCAGCCTCGTCTCCATCGTCGCACTCTCTGCTTTCTCCTCGAGCTCCGTCTCTCCGCCCTCCCTCGTCTCCCCCTCGTGATCCTCGCCTTCCTCTAGCTCTGGTCGGAGGCAGCAGTTGGTCAGGCCGAGGACCAGCAAGAAGCCGACCACATTGGTGCCCACGACGACAGACTCCAGCAGCTTCAGTACGCCGTTCACATAGCTGCTGAGCCTGTGCAGGAACACGCCGCAGCCCTCGGTGTAGATGAGCATCGCCGCCTGCCCCGGCTTGGTGTCCAGCGTGAGCCGCAGCAGGTCACCGCGGTCGCACGTGTCCTGCCGGCAGCACCAGCTCGGTACCGTCATGTTCTGCCGCAAGTAGTCGCGGTAGTCGCTGGCGCCGCAGCACTGGAAGCGCCGCTGTATGCTGCCCATCTCCAGCAGCGTGCGCTGGAACTTCAACTCCAGGTGGTTGCTTCTGATGTGGCCCTCGCCGCCGCCCACGCCACGCTTGTCCTCGTCAGCCTCGTGCTCCAGGGGGGACGGGTATGGTGTGGTAGTTCCAGCCGCGCCACGAACGTGCAGAGCCTGGGAAGATTTATTGTGGGAGGTGTCCCAGACCTGGGACTTGGAGACTACTGGGGAGTGTAGCGCCGCCTCTGCCGGCTATCACCCGGGTTCTCCTCTGATTGTCGCTCCTGTTGTGCCACGCGGAGTCCTTCTCACGTCCACGCCCGTTGCCCCGGGGCTTTATTGGAGCAGCGACACTGCTGTCCACTTCCGCAATAGCTACAGGCCTGGGCGCGTCCTTGACCGGGCGCGGAGTGTTCGTGTGGTGATCGCCACGCATGATCTCCCGGTACAAACTCGTCTCGTTGGCGTATCGCTCAAGAAGTGCCAGCAGCACAGGATCGCGACCTCTGGGCTGATCTAGCTCTTCCATGACCGCCTGGGGCTGGTCCATGCGCTGGCGCAGCTCGCTTAATAAGTCCTTATAGCAGATAGGTCCCGTGATCTGTTGACCGCTATCGCTCATCATGTGCGGAGTGAACTCGAGGAGGTGCAGCATACCCAGCCCCTGCATCAAGAAGTGCACCACCAGGGATGCAAGCGTGACCGCACCGTACACCTTCAGAAGTATGTCGTTGTGGAAGCAGGCACCAACGCCACCGAGCACGCTGACGATGATGGTCACGATCGAGAACGACACCAGCGTCCACACGTTCTGGAGGCCGAGCGTAGTCAGTTCGGCATCACCTGCATAGTGGTCACGGAGGGCTGTCGCCAAGATAAGCATGGACACCAGCGACAACAGCACGGTGAAGATGGTGATGATCAGCAGGAGCCAGCGGAAGACTCCAGAGTGCAGGCATGACAGCTGGCTCGGCTTCATCGTGCGGTTGGAAGTCGGGCGCTGTGCTACAGTGCCATCTGGAGGGAAGTGTGCGAAGCACAAGCAGACGCACACAGATGTCGGGAGTGATGCTTGTCCACGTTCGTCGGCCGGTTGGCTTGCAGAGGAGGGATGCACCCGTGGCTGTGGCAAAGGGTATTTCAAAAGATTAGATGCAAGCTTAAGCCCAGATTTGAATAATTTTTGCTGTCGAAAGTGATATGCTCGAGAAATATGTGAGACCCCTACGTTATCCTAATATGGATTATACCGGTTGGCTACCTATAGTTGCCAGTTTACATCCGGTGTCTTCTGTTTGCTTTGTTTTTTGTAATCGACGTCAGATTTCTTATCAAAGCAGGCAACTTAATATTTGCACAGTGAACTTTCAAACGCATGGGCAAGGTATTTCCAGTTATATGTATACTTTTAAACTTGTGGGATTTTTATGTTTCTCAGCTTGATCTATTTTTGTTGCTTGAATAGAAGCACAGATCAAATAACCCGACTTGGCTGTCGAACGACAATTGCTTTTTAGGATGGTTATTCGTGACTTCACTGCAAGGAGACTTCCAACAAACAGCTGCGAACATGGATATGGGTGCATTGCAATACCGTACACCTAGTACCACGATCAAGGTCGGACACGTTTGCAATGACAGCACGGATGTCTATTGGAAATGTGTAAGCTAACTATGAAGAACTTGCCTCGATAAATGTGGTGATATCTGTCAAATAACAGTGATTGATTTGGCGCAAAACGTTTTAAAGAACCCGGGTTTTCAGAGACACACTAAGTTAGGCCCAATGTACGCGTAACGATCTTGCAGCATATAGGTACCAACAAATCACTACTTCCCAGCGTAGATGCCATGCAATTTTCGACCCTCGGCGGCCGATGTCAGTATAAATTATCTGTATAACGCACACCACGCAAATAGCCACACTATTAGAATGACGTTATGAGTTCAGAGTCTCTTTGTCTACAGTTATTATATACATCAGCAGGTATTGGTTAAACGACGTTATCAGCAAACACTGGCTGCATTGCCAATACTTGACCTTTCAAGATGTGCTTATTGCCAACAAGGGCGTAGCTTGAAACGTCGAGTATTGGCATAACAGCGTCTTGAGTTACCAATGTTTGCTCGATAAGGTTGTTTAACCAGAGCCTCCGAACATAATGAACGTCGATCTGTCTGCATAACAACTTTGAACTCGTGATGCCAAAAACCAGGTGCTCATGGTCTTTTTTGCTCATAGCAAGAACGATAGCAGTTAGTTTGGATGTTGTCCGCTGCGTGATGAGCTTTAAAGCGCGTTGATTTCAGAGATCAAATTTCTCAAGCAGGTTTGGTTTTGGTTTCCTATGTACAGTTGTGAATCTTCGGAATCATGTGCCTTTTTTACTATAACAACCAGTCAAACATGATTTGTGATGTTTCATCATTCGAGTGATGACAAACGTCATTACGAGCGAAGATTCCGAGTGAAAGGATGCGTTGTCGCACGACTACGCCTTTTGCGCATGTTCGAATTTGTCGAAAACTGAGCACTACAGAAAACCTTGACAACGTTGTAATTCAAGCAGTAAATACAACATAGCTGGATTGAATGTTTCCAATATGGCATTGTGCTCATCTTTCCTCGACCCGAGTAGTGTAGATTTCAGTTTTATGACAATCCTCTTTCGATGACATGCTTGAAATGTTCTTCGCTTCTCCTCATTGATATTTGGGTAGGCGCTTTGCCCAACGACAGAATAAGCGCTAACCTATCACAACCGGGATTTTGTACGCCTTTTCTGCGACTGTTTTCCCTTCTCAGTGGTGATTTTGTGTCTGTTTTTGCATAAGTATCCCTTCAGGCGTTCCCATAGAAGAAGGCTGAGAAGTCTGGAGTCCGGAGAGTGTGGAGGTCACTCCCAAAAACTTGGCCCATCCGCCTTCTCTCCGGGGCAGTGACGGCGGGCCCGAATTCGGGATGGAAGGGGCAAAGACTTAACGAAAGGCTCCCCAAAACGAACCATCCCTCAAACCGATGGGCCTCTATATTTCAGTGAGGCTATTTATTCAGCCGGAAAGCGCCTGGCCGTCACCGTAACTCAATGAGTTACAGTGCCTGCCTGGCTCAGCTGCGCCAAGGTGGTCAGGTTAAAGGTCCGCGTCGCTTCGGTGCTCGCTATTTCCCCGTGACTGGAAAAGCCTGCGGCCGGGGACAGTGGCCGCCCAAGGTCAGCAAGCCATTCTGACACGTTAAACGTCTTCCACAAAGTTATGCCGTTCAGCTGGAATTTTACAATAGGATGGCCTGTCGGCCAGTGTTTGCATAGCGAGGCACTGCTGGGCGTAAGCGCCGACCTTAGGAATCAACCCGATTCAGCCATATGTATTTTGCTCCTTTTTAGATTTTACCCGAATGATTTGAAATTTTTTGGGCCTCAAACTACGTTTACATAAACCATAGCTGGTTTTTTTGGTACCGTGAACCGGCCGTTCAATAGTGAAATTCCAGTTAAACGGCTGATTTTGCCTGCTGTCATTTCTCCACACGAAACCAGTCGCAGGAGTGTCTTTCACGTCGTGCGAGGCTACGGGACAGCTGCCCGTGTCGGGTGGACTCCCTGATCACCAGGCAGAAGGCCACCAGGAGCGCAATTCGTTTTTCTGGGACTCTGAGCCAACGTCGCCGGATCCAAATCGGCCATCTTCCCCCGAGTGCGCCGAGTCGGCCATTGCAGTGCGAAGGTAAAACTTTTGTCAGGGCGCTCCGAGTCACTCATTGCAGACTTTTGAATGCGTTTGGATGCAACAGCACCACTGATGCATGAACGGCACTATGCTCTCAAAACATCTCATCTCATAAGGGTCGAGAAGAAGAAAAAACAAAACACCTGACAAGGTAGCCTGCTAGCATTTACCAGCCGTCAGAACTGACAAGGCGAGTTTGAAACACGCCCACTGATTTCGAGGGCGTCTGTCGACCTCGTCAGTTGTTATATGACAGATATGGCCATGTAAGTAATGCTAACAGCCACTCTAAACTGAGCTTCCCCGGCCACTTCAAGAGTGAAACGGACCGACCCAGCATCAGACAGTGTCGGGTTAAAAGTCAGAAGCCCGGAGCTTGCGGCTGACCTCAGAGCATCGCTCCGCCCCGGTACGATACCTACGATCACAGGTGAATTTTGAGGAGCGTTTTTACGGCATTTGTCAATGCCACGTGAATTGGAAGTGCCCTTAATTTTCGTTTCATGCAGACAAACCTTAGGAATACAAATTCCGACGGTTTCTAAATCACCTTTTGCAAAAAAATATTTCCAGCTCGACAGTTCATAGTTGCGTAGCTCCACCAACTGGTTAAATGCACGCTGCATAAGCATGGCTGGCTGTGATTTTGATGAGGTTGAGCTCAAAATTTTGGTCGTTCATCTTGCCATCGTGTTGTAAAATCAGTTTGAACTCTTTCCCCAACAATTGTCTCCCGCCCTTTCATAAGCCTCCTCCACAAGTATGAAGCTGGCACTATGTGCATTGAGTAAAGTATCATCTTTGAAAACCTAAATTATTGCTTCGTCGCTTGCTTCGTCGCTAGTAATTGTCGCTCAATTTGTTTCAATTGAACGGCAGATGTAAAGTAAAGGAGCATTACGTGATATTTTTTCATGAGGGTTTCAACAAGTATATCTTAATGGGGCCCGGGCCGCCACTCCCCTTGCGGGGGCTGCGGGTGGGGTGCGGGAGAACAGGAAGGTCTTAAACCTTAGCCAGGTAGGAGTGGCATCTACTTTATTAAGTGAGGGTAACGTCTTAGGTGGGGGATGTGCCTCCCGCGCTGGACTACACCTATGGCTGGTTACGCCCTGAATTCTGCCACGAGTCGGTTGAAATTGTGTACCAAAGAGATCTGTAGAAGGCTCACTCAGGCTTGAAGGGGCCCACTATCAAATCTTAGAAGACCCATTTTGTCTTTTTGGAGTCTACTCCCCCCCCCCTCCAACCTGAAAATTACTTCGGTGATTCTGTTGACCTGTATTTTTTATGGGCATGAAATAAATGACAGATTAAAATCGCAGGCACAGATCACGTTGAAGCGGTCAAAAGGCCTTTACACGGCCAGGCGATATATTCACTCGGTAGGGAAAATGGCCAGGAACGTAAATAATGATTCCCAACCTTTCGTTGTCCGATGATGGCGGTTACGGTTATTTGGTCGCTTGTTTGGCTGCTACCATTTGTCGCTCATTTTGTTTCATTTAAGCATTTTATTAGGTCCGTCTTGCGCTGTTTTGCAGCTTTTCCATGCATTATTAGGTTTTAAATCACCGACACAAAGCAGCAGATCCCCAATTCTGTGCGAAGCTCCACCTGAATATTCGCGGGCAGTTTTAAACAGTTCAGGAAAAAAAGGGTAGCCAAAACGATTCCAGCTGTTACATGCTAGAAGCCAGCTAAATTCTCTAGCACCTGACAGAATTGTGCCTCATAGCATGGGACAGTCCTGAATAGTAGGATAAGAAACGAAAGAGTCATCCCATAGTGAAAGTTGAGCTCCGAAAGTTAAGACTGTTAGCGTCGCCGTTTCAAGTTTTTACAGGGTCGTAGAATGCGACCCATGCGACCCCGTAGCTACATCATTGCTGCAGTCACCTATGCGTCTCTCAAGCTTGTTGAGATCTTCGCCTCCACCCGTCACGTGCTCTCCACCTAAAAACAAAGCCGTCTGAAGCAGCCAGCGGATGCTTCATTCTGCGCCCGGCTTCTGGTCAGTGAGCAGGGTCAGCCTGCGAGCATCTGAGTGAAACCACGGATCTCTGATCAGTGATATCTCAGAGAGTAATGGACCGCGGGTTTCCCGGCATAAGTGTACCTGCCGCACAGGTCACAAATACCCCACATCTAATGCTTCTAATCGACGCCAGCCGACAACGCGGCATCTCCGAAATGCCGTAAATACCACCCCGGAGAGCGGTAACTGCCACTGAAGCAGGCATGTCGCACTGCCGCCGGTCTACCGCCCCATCCATTATTCAGGTGTTCGGCGCCCTCTCGCCCTCCGCGCGCCCTCTCCCAGCCTATCTCTGGCGCCGGCGCCGGCCAATACTGGAAAAGTCACGGCCCGATGCCAATTATCCTATTCGAGTCCGCATAAATCCGACTTCATCGCTCATTTCCATTCGTTCACCTGTTTGACTTGGCCGGCAGGCAGCGCGTCGCGCATGCGCGCTGGCCGCCAGCTGCGGCGCGGCCGGCCGCCCCGTCAGACCGAGAGTGGACCGCGAGCCGCGAGGAGTGTGCACGAGTGCGCGCAAGCGAGCCGCCCTAGCGGCGTGACCCCCGTGACCCGGCCGCGCCGGCCGGCGCCAAGTGGCCGCCACTTCCTTCCGCCGAGACTGCCGCCGTCCGCAGCTGAGAACGGTGGGTCACTTGGCCTGTTTTCCGCGCCTGGCCCCATCGGCGCTAATGGCCGGCCGTGCCGT